GTTATATTAGACAGAAACATTTGTAAACCTCTCTCCTTCTCTCTGTCCATCACCCACTCCCAACCTCTAAATACCCCACTACACAGAAATTTCTCTCTTCTCCCAGGATTCGGGTTTTTCATTATAGGCAACTATGTTTTCTGTCCCCATGGTTTCATCCATTCTTTTTACTGTGTCCCATTCCTATGGATTCCTTGTTCTCCTTCCTATGGTTCCTTACATTTAATTATTATTATTATTAAACATTTTGTGCAAGATTGTCCATGACATGCATTCTTTGGTTCCCTAGAAGATCTGCACGAAGCAACGCCAGAAGTGATCACCTGGATAGCTGAATTGGATATCCAGTTATGAAGCCACTGTGATACCCTCATAGAAGTTTTACTTATAATTACATAACAGACTTCTCTTCTGTCCTGTTCTCATCATTAAATAATAATAATCCACTTCATTTCTCCTTTTCCCTTTCTCCTTTTTGGGAGGTTTACAACATACAAGCACAACTTGAAGACTGAGTTTCCCTCTCTCTGGGTAACCAATTCAAGAATTCACCTCAAATTGCAATAGATGTGGACACTGCAGCACAGCAGGCAAAAGAATTATGTGCAATAGGGAGGTTCATATTAAATTAACAGCAAGCCTTTCTGCCTATCCTTAAGTCTTTCAAAAGCAATAAAGGCATGAAATGAGCTGTTCCCGTTGCGAGTCCCTGTCTTGCATCTATCCCCTCCATTCCTAGTAACTGCACTCCCCTGACTTCAGACACAGCACATAGGATGAATACGGCAGAACTTGACTGAACAACAGCAGCCTTAAATCAATATTTATATGGCTTTATTGTATATTGTTTAAAACTTAATCTATAAGCACACCATTTGTCCTACAGCAAACATGACAGGGTTAGAGGAACAAAGCAAAAAGAGGGACTCTCATGACAGAGAAAAAGGAAAACCAGGTTCAGTGTATTTGTGCTGGCTTCTCTTTCATAGGGAATTAATGGTGGTTTAATGGGGTATGAAAGAATGTTTTACTGGAAACAATGAGGAACAATTGTCTAGCTCACGTTTCATTTCACAGGTCATTATTGCATTAAGAAGTAAATCGACCAAGTCCGGTAAATAACAGTCTGGGTATTGCTGAAAGCTTCAAACCAAACAATTTTACAGTTTTCACCTAATATCTCTATCATTTTTAACCCTTACAGAGATCTGCTGCAGGCTAAACAATTATTATCTTCACCCACCCCTGGCAGGTAAGCATTATTCATTTTACCTTCTCTAGCAAGCCCCACCAGGCAACGGGTTTTGCATTGTTGTTTTGTTTATTAGGCAGCCTAGCCAACTGTGTATCTGGTGGCCTTGAAAAACAACACAACTTTTAGTGAGTGCTGCAGGCATCTTTAAACAGGCTGCTTCCTCTGCAAAATTAATTGTTGCAAAACACAGCACTTCTTCTGTGTCAAGTACTGCACACTGACACTCAGCAGTTTGTCTTCGTTATGGATATGCCAGGGAAATTTAGGGCAATGCCATTCTTCAAGTTCACATGCAAATCCTGTAAAGTGTGAGGCTTATTCACTCTTGAGAAGGCCGACCTTGTTACTTACTTAATTTTCATCTGGGAACTATAAAGTCTAGCTGTCTTGTCATCCATCTCTCAATGTATAAACAATTACTGTACTGTTCTTTGAACAACATCAGTCAAATATATTAATCATAAAGTCCTCTGAATTCTATTTTTCACCATATTTAAAATTCATTTCTGATGCAACCTTATAAATTCAGTTTCTCTCAGAACAGATGTCAAGAATGTAAGTATTATTTCCATTCACGTGTTATAACTTTTCAGGGAGGAATTCTTTCTGCTAAATCCATTCCCTTCATTGTTCAAACATGCCTCTCACCTCTCAATTATCTCACAGTCCAAGGAATCAGAAGGTGGCTGAAAATTAGTGAACCTTGTGACAAATTAAGGGCATGCTTTTTATGTTGCTTTTTCTTCCAATGTTTTAAAATTCTTATTTTGAATTTATTATGTGCCATTAAGTGATTTTTCAACTCATAGCAACCACATAGATAGATTTTCTCCATGACAATCTTTCCCTAGCCTGTTCTTTCAGGTCCGTTCGGAGTGGACAGATATAGTTTTTAATATCTGTGCAGTGCATAAAAAGGCCCTTCCTTGGCTTATCACCATCCGTTTAGTAACCATTTGAAGTTACAACGGCCCTGAAAAAAGTGACTTATGAGCATTTTTCATACTTGTGGGTGTTGCAGCATCCCCATGGTCACATGATCAAAATTCGGGTGCTCGGCAACTGCCAAGTATTGATGAAATTGCAGTGTCCCGGGGGGCTCATGTGATCACCTTTTGCAACCTTCTGACAAGCAAAGTCAGTGGGGAAGCCAGATTCATTTAACAACTGTTCTTCTAACTTAACAACTGCAGTGATTCACTCAACAACTGTGGCAAATAAGGTCGTAAAATGGAGCAAAACTCACTGAACAATTGTCTTGCTTGGCAATGCAAATTTGGGACTCAGTTGTGGTCATAGCTCAAGGGCTACTTATATGTGTGTAGAGAGGTGTTTAACAGCCTTTTCCGTGATAACACAGTAGCATTCTGGAAAATGTTTTTAACTTTCCAGTAGGCCCCTTTGTTTATAAATTCACTTCTCCTTTGTGTATTAGAGGATGTTGCTCCTCAACATTATTCTGATTTTTTTACATTATATTATGTTGATTTAATTGGTTGGTTGGTTAGTTGGTTGATTATGATAGTAGGGGGAGTAAATCTAGTTAATATCTCTTTCCTGTTCTAACACTTCTCAAGGTGCATAAAAACAGTCATGATAGCAAGAAAACAGTAAAAACTTCAGTTACTCTTAGCCCAGTGGGATTCAGCCAGTTTACACCAGTTCAGTAGAACTGGTAGCTAAATTTTGTTGAGTTCGGAGAACTGGCTGAATGAAGACTGCTTCCAGAAGTCCATTCTAGGCCTCAGAGGCCTAGAGGATGCCTCCCAGGCCTAGAATGGCCCTTCAGAAGTGCATGGATGCCACTTCTGGAAGTCCGTTCTAGGCCTTTAATGCCCAGGCCTGTATCCACGCAGAGAACTGGTTGTTCAAGTATTTGAATCCCACCACTGTCTTAGCCTCACTATGGAAACCACACTAGAAATCAACTTCACAGGGAAACTAAGAATATTGTTATTGAGAAGGGCTATAATGAAATAAATGTTATAGGTCTGCTATACCTCCTCCCCTTCTTATATTCATGTGATTATGAAGATTTCTGTCTGAGCCTCTTTGCCATACTTTCTGCCTGTTTCGGATTTAAGATTTGCCTTTCCCCTCATTGTTCTGGTAACTGTACTTATCCTCAGTATCTCCATCAGTGTCATCTTGTTTATGCTCTGCAATTGTTTTATGTAGATACAGAATATGCTTTCTGTATCTACGTATACTCAGGGAATATAGCTTAATAGTTATCAGGAACAGAAATTTCCTCGCATGGTATTATTTTCCACTATCTCAATATTTCACCAAAGAGTTATCCTATAATATACATCATAAAAATCAATGTCCCCAATTAAAGCTTGATACATAAAAATAAACCATAATATAAAAAGTTAACTTATATACCAGAAAAGAAAAATATGGTGATAAAGCATCTCATTTGTTTTCAGAATAGAACTTCCATGAATGAATGCTTTGGGATTCACCACAAAGTAGTGCAGCAGATAAAGGATATATTATAAAGGACTTCTATAAATGATGGGTCATTAAAATTAGGGAGATATGATTCTTGTCCATGGTTTGGACTTGAAAATGAGAAGCGGATTAAAAAAAAAGAGAATCCCAAAATGTATATTTAAGACAGAGGTGGATGATCAATTTCTTCTTTTAAAAAAAAGTTTTATGACACTGATTATTAGCTCAATGTCAAATCCTTCTAAGGGCCTTTTCTCAATGAATTCCATAAATGTCCTTTTCTAGAAAACTCTTCTGGAAATTCTTAAAATGGCAAAGATGGTTGTTTTCTAATGACAAATCTAGAAGCTTATGACCTGATACGTGCATGAACATAAAGATCAATAAACCTGCCTTTAAAGATGATGGAACCTGGTGTTTGACTTTTTGACTTGTGATTCATAATCAGGTCAACTAAAGCAGGGGGGAAGATCACGTCTGTGCAAGACAGTGAATTAATCAGCCCTCTAAGCAGCCTCTAAGACAGATCCTTAGAGAAATGCCTTTTACCCTGGAAGACATTAGATGTTTTATTTAAAGATTAAACATTTGGTTTAAAGATTAAAGTTCTCTTTGTGCTTAATCGCTTTCCAGGGCAAGATGGAAAATGAGATTAATTACAGTCCCCTGCATTAAGCTCCTATCCAGCTGAAGTAACTTTTCTGCAAAATGGCCACCATCATGAACAGCAGGCTCCAGAGATACTAATTGTAATTAAAGAGTTTATCTGGAGTCGCAGCACAGTCTTAATCAGGATGGGAACCGAGTCTCACTGCATGCACTTTCAGCACATGGCTGTATAACAAAATAGCTCTTTTGAAAAGGCAGTTTACTCTAAAAAGTCTGAGCAGGACTTGATGCCGGCGGGCCTACCATTCTCTATGGGATTCACACAAAATCTTATTAGGTCAATTGTTTAGAAAGCATCTCTCATTAAGGGATTTCAAAACGCTTGTGAAAAGTGAATAAAATTACCTTGCTCTATTGAAGAATAAATGTGGACCAGGCTGCCGTTAATACATATAAAGGTTATGTTGAATTAAGTTACTTGCCCTGGAACTAGGAGAGACATATACAATTGGAAACTGTACCCCTGAGACAATGACTCTAAATTCTTTATTGTCATACTGCCATCTTTCTGGAATAATTGTCTTCAAATGGCCACAGTAGCACTCGATTCCTTCTAAGTTGCTCTCTCTTGCATATAACATCCTTTGGTATTGCTGTCTACCCATGACTGGCAACTTACCAGCATCCTGGCATGCTTGTTCCCAATCCAACTCTGATTTTTGGAAAACTGATACAGGGGAATCCAATCCTAGGGCACTTCCATCCAAATCTTTGAAAAGAGCTTTCCTTGAGTTCCCACATATTGCATTACCAGATGAGCTAGGTTCATTTACTCTGACGAGAAAGAAAAAAATATGAGACTTGGGAACAGACCAATTTCTGATACACATGTCAGTTAAATAGGAGACAGCATAATAGTGGTAAAAGTAAAGGTTTCCTCTGTCCAGATGTCCAACTCTAGGGGGCAGTGCTCATCTCCATTTCTTAGCCCAGGGAGCCAGCGTTGTCCAAAGACACTTCCATGGTTACGTGGATAGCATGACTATACACAGTGGCACACAGAACACTGTGGTACCTATTTATCTACTTGCATTTGCATGTTTTCGACCTCCTAGGTGGGCAGAAGCTGGGACAAGTAATGGGAGTTCACCCTGTTGTGCGACACTCAGGTCTTGAACCCGAACTGTCAGCTTTCCAGCTGACAAGCTCAGTGTCTTGTAATAGTGATAATAAAAGATAAACTCTCTAAAAAAAGATGGTGATGCATGTATGCTCTTTTAATGTTTTACAGGTGATATTGCAGATGCTTTGCCTGAACATAAAGCAATGATTCTATCTAGTATTGATGGGAGCTAGAATGGGGAACATCTCCAGTGCACCAAACTTCTTCCTGAATCAGTATATGTATCCAGATATACACATTCTTCAGCGTTCATTTTTTGTTCAAGTGGCAGACATAATGCAATGATATATTTTGTTGGAAAACTGTTTAATCCATTACTTGCTATTTATATATACACTGAGACCTTATGCATCAGAGACAAATTCCTTGTGTCTAATCACACTTGACTAATTCTATTCTATTCTATTCTATTCTATTCTATTCTAGTGTTGGAATACCATATTAGACATTTTTAACTGATTAACTGGAGCTAAAATAAGATGAAACAAGAAATAGGAGAAAGCAACTCTAAGAAGAACAGATCAGTGATAGTACCACAGATTATAAATATATCAAACATAATTATTATGGAAATCTCAGCAAGAATGATCCAAAATGGATTACTTATAAGTGATTATAAATATACCTCGTTTGCAGCGGATGAAAGTAGAACATATTTTGTTCACTGATATGGAGCATTCTGGTCTGCTCAGATGTGATCAGATGCAAGATGCCTCCATGTCCTGGATTTGTCATGATGCAGGTGTCTTGGTCCCCAGTATAGCAACTCTTTCTAAAACCATCAAAGGTTATATCTGATAAAGGGAAAGTAAAAACTCTGTAGGAAAATGGCAGCACTCGACTAATTTATACAGAGAGCCAGTTTGCTCTAGTGTTTAAGGCACCAGTCTAGAAAGAAGGAAACTGGGAGTTCTAGTCCTGCCTTAGCAATGAAAACCATCTGGGCTAGTCTCTCTCTCCCCCCCTCTCTCTCTCCCCCTCCCTCCCTCTCTCTCTCTCTCTCTCTCTCTCTCCCTCTCCCTCTCTCCCTCCCTCTCCCTCTCCCTCTCTCCTCTCCCTCTTTCCCTCTCTCCCTCTCTCTCTCTCTCAGCCCAGCCCACCTTTCAGTGTTGTTGTTCTGGGGAAAATAGGAGGAGGAAGGTATGTTGGATATATTTATCTTGCTTGAGTTATTTGTAAAATTGATAAAGATGGGATACAAATAAATATCTCTAAATTATGAAGTAGCTGCATCAGTGTGTATGGTCTGTGGTATAATGTAGCTGCTTTAATTGTTGATAGTGCTTTTTGACACTTTTTTAAAAAACATTATCTAGAAGTAGAAATTAGAGGTAAAAGTTGTCTGTTCACATAGGTTTGCAAACCTTTTTTCCCCCTTTTAAATAAAGGATTAATATTTTAGGATTCAGTTAAAGATCTCATTGATTCCAGGGAGAAATCTTTGTCTCTGGGCTTACTGAATCGATGCTTCAATGTTCTGTCTAAAATTATTCGAAATGTCTTCATTTTTGTTTTCAGGAGGAAATCTTCAGCAAAATAAACAGCTGTGTCCATTTCTCTTCTATTTCTCAGTAGGACAGGAGAAAATCACAGCTGCATGTAGATATCATGCTAAGCATAGTTTAGTTCAAGAATAACCAACCTAGTGTCCTCCTTTTGTTCTAAACACCAGATATCATCATGGCAAATGTCAAATAATTTGAAGACTTGTAATTCCAAAGGTCTAAAGGGAGTCCATTTCTATCCCTACTTTGACAAGATATAAACAAGGAAAAATGAATGGCATCAGGCCATGAATTTTTCCTTTCCTTCCTATCTTTCCTATATAGCCAAGAGAGGAATTATGGTTAACTACAGCAAGCAATGTCAACTTTTAATTATATTTAGTTACAATTATGGATAATTTAAGCAAGCCAAATAAGTCAATTTGCCATGATTAAACAAGCAGGTAACTTTAAAGTGAATGATTGAAAATTAACATTTTTTTCTTTTACTTTTTTTCTTCGTAATGTTTTTCCTCAAATGCAGGGTCCATTTTTTTGGTTCAGTCAAGTGTTGATCCATTGATTGGGGCAGGTATTGACTGATCTTGACACCCAAGTCTGATGTCATAGGATGGGAAGAGTGACTGGCCCAGAGTCACCCAGCCAGCTTTCATAGTCTCCTCATTTCTAGCCTGGTGTCTTAACTAGGCAAAATTGGCTCTCTTAACAATATTTCATATTAATAGCAACAGCACTTAGACTTATATACCGCTTTACAATATTTTACAGTGCTCTTTAAGAGGTTTACATAGTCACCATATTGCCTCCAACAATCTGGGTCATTTTACCGACCTCGGAAGGATGGAAGGCTGAATCCTCCTTGAGCTGTTCAGAATTGATCTACTGGCAGATGGCAGAATTAGCCTGCAATACTGCATACTAACCACTGTGCCATCACGGCTCTTAATAATCATATTAATATGTCTTGGGAAGAGTATGCAAAACCACATCCCCATTTATTCATGTTAGATAAGATTAACATGTACAAACTCAGTGAATATAGTGAATATACAATATGACCATGGATTCTCATGCTTTCTGTGAGATTGGATAGACACACACACAAACACAATTACACAGAGGCACACACACGCTTTCATCAGAAGCATATAGATAGATTTATTTGGGTCTTTTTTCCATTTAAATGAGTCTTTTCTTCTATAACCATTTTACAGTGAGGAACATTGTTATTACATAATTGTATATTTTATGTGACAAGTTTTTGCTCTCCCAAGTACAACTACTCTTTCTTTTTTTTGTTGGTGTCATTGAAAAAGTCTTAATAATGTGCTGATTATTTTAGAAAAAGTATACATATGTATCTTGAAACAGAATAAAATTGACATAAAGACGTGTATTTTGACCTAAGACTGTATTAAATTTTGATTAAGCATACAAAATCAGGATCAGCTGCATTGAAATCAGTCCATTCCTAGGAAAATATTCATAGGCTGGGGCTTTGGTCAGCTACAAACTGTAGCACCACAATAGATCTGCTTGTCTAAAGTTTTTTAATAAAATATTTGAGGTTCCTAAGAATACTTTAAATGACATTTTAATCACCAAGCACCATTTGTAGTTCCAGGATTTATTAGTGTATTTATTATTTCAGTATTTATTAGACCACAGATGCTCTTAAAGTACTAACCTTGTAGAGTTGTGACTCCCAGAACTATTGAATAGTTTCTTATTTTATGCCATGGAGCATCAGGCCACCAGTTACAGTCCGAGGTAAAAGATGGCCATAACATGCCAATTCGACCCCTCCAGGGATTACGTGGAGCTCGATCTGTATTTGTCTCATTGGCTGAAAGAGGCTGGATTCTGTCCTTGATGCAGTCAAAGGAAGTGCTGGTTGCCATAAAGACAGAATTTCTTAGTTTCAGGTGCTGCTTTTTCTGGTGACAGTACAGCTTAGCAGATGGTCCATAAAGTACTGGCAAGAGTCCCACGACATTGTCTACCAATATCACCTTCTCAACTACTACACTTCCTACAAGATGAAACATTATCCCATAGTCATAGTTTTTGTAAGACAAAAAGCCTGTAATTTTAGTGCAGTTTGGAAAGCCATCTCCTTTATATAAATGAACCCCATGAAGGCTTGAATGAGCTACATTGCCACTGTAAAGGTCTTTTGCTAAGAAACATTCTTGACCCTTGATATGAAAGGCTATCCGTTCTGTACCAGCCACGCTATTATTATGTAGCATAGCACCTTCTACTGTATTTGTTTTGATGCCAGCCACCCAGAACCTTGAGGTCCCTGGTTGTTTGCTTAAGACAACCAGATTTCTGATGAGTGTGTGATTTTGGCCTTCTAAATGTATACCATGCCCAATTGTACTGAATATCACATTATCACGTAGGAAGAGCCCATTACTTGTAATGGCTTGAATACCAACTCCACAGCTGTGGTGAATGCTAGAGGAAATTATGAAAGATTTGGATGAATTTGTAATGTCAACTGATGGAGACTGTGAAGATCCAAAGTTCAAAATTTCAACATTTGAAAGTTGAAGCACACCTGCAAAATGGGAGAAGGACATGTTTAAGAATCAGAACTTTAGTGGGGGGGGTAAGGGGGGAGGGGGAACAAGATAACCTTCCATGCCTTAAAAAATAAAAACAATGGTAAAAGATATTCTATTGATGCCACTTTAGACATTCTTAATTCCTAAATCCTTAAGCTAGTACTATTCCATTTTTTTAAAAAAAGAGAAAGCAAATACAGTAACTAAGGGGTTACTTAATGATCCAGGTTTTATTTTCATTGATGCCTACATAACATTTGCTATAGAGGATAATAGTTTTTTTTTTACTTCGAATAGCATGTTTTAAACTCAGTTGCATTTACTTTCCTCAGTAATTATTACTATGTTATCACACTATTAATAAAATAAAAAATCATTTATAATTCCCACATTCATAAGGGGTTTGGGGGTCAATTGATGAAAGGAGGCAATGCCAACCTATTTCTGAAAAACCTTGTAAAGAAAACCACAAGGACTTGTCCAGGCAGTCTCTGAGAATTGGAATTATTGAACAGAAAAGAAAAAAAAAAACCCTCACCCACAATAGTAGGTTTGGTGTGATAACTATCAAATGAATTCATGTTCTTCTTTAAAAATACATGAGAAATCTAGAAAATTAAATTATGTTTTTCTAAGCTATATGGATTGAGAACCATGTGTAAAATAATTATAAATACTCAAGTACCTGCATCTTGATTTGCATAGTCCCAAGGTCTCACCAGAAGTCTTCCTATGCAATCCATGTCAGATTTAATCTGAATGTTTCTTGTCAGAAGCCCAACCTCTGCAGCCAGGAGAATCCATTGACCATCTTCTAATCTATGGGAATATCCTACAGAGATCAAAATGATGGAAAACAATAGAAGTGGAATAATAAACCAAACATGGGATCTCTACTAATTCTTCCCTTCTGAAAACAGTTCATATATCCAAGCTATGTACAGTAGGACTTCATAATTTATTGCAGATTCAGACATTTGGAAAAAGTCATTTACCTTATTATCACTTTTAACATTATTTTCCCCTTATTTCATATAATAATCATTGATATAGAGAAAAACATATCTCAAAAGTGAGGAGCATAGTACCTTAGCTGTTCTGTGATCAAGCCTAAAATAGTTCCATGGCATCTCAGAAAAAGATGTTAAATATAAGGTCAGAGTTTATTGCACCTACCTAAAATTTTGCAAGTATTTGTAATTCTAGTAGTATGAGACAGCAGTTAAATACAGAAATAATTGAGACAATTCATTCATTGTATAAGTGCCGATTGCCCATTTAAATGTCTTAAGAAGCAATACCAGCCCTTAAACTAAGCTGAGAGGTAAAGATACAAAATGGGGATGAGATCATACTTGCTGGTCCAATATATGTTGATTATAGTATATCTCTCCCCATGACTTATAATATCTTCCAAAATTATCCAACTATTGTGCCAGAAGAACATAATGGGAACAGATTTTATATCACTTCAGTGATGGCTGGGTTAAACTAGGCGCTACTATAATTCACTGAGGATTAGCTATATTTAGACCCCAGATGCATCTTCCCTGCAAAATGTTGGGTAGAAGACTGTACATTCATAGCCTCTGCATGTGAACTTAAAGTCAATTTGTAGTAGCTGGGTCAGGAGTCCAACTCTTGCCCTTCCAGACATAAATCTCTATTTCAGCTGATTGTCTTCATAAGGTTAACTACTTTACGGATAACTTGTAATTCCCATTTTGTTACTTAATTAAAGCAATGAAAATGTTAAGGCACCCTAGAAAGAAAACGCTATTGAATAATGGCAAGTTTATTGAGGAGAAATAATGAATGTTGGGGTAGCCTTTAATGTACAAAACAAAATTCATGATACAATCTAAGCAAAGGAGACAAATTGCATACCAATATGTCTATGGAGAAGACGTTCACGGATCCTAATGCTACGATTGTTAACTTTTTCTAAAGTGATTATTTCAGCTTGATGGGCTTCATATGAAGAGGAACTGATAACAATACTGTCACCCTGATGCCAGTCCAAATGATCTTGCACCATAATCCTGTAAATCTCAAAAAAAATATTGTGAAGTTTCCATGAAACATTACTTCCTTTAAAGCATACAAATATACTATGAAGAAAAATAGAAAATGCTTACTAAAATGCTTACATTCACTGATGAAGACAAGTTTGTAAGTGGTAGGAAGAATGTGCCTGGATCCTGTCACTTTGGATAGGAGAAAAGATATTGAAATAGAATCCTGAAAAGCTGACATTTCTACAAATGCACCAAGGTCTTCTGTCACCACCAAGAGTTACTCATGTATGGGTAAACAGTACCCATCAGGGAGCATTTCTCTGACATGGGTGTCCTTCTATTTCCTGATGGATCAGCAAGTAGAAATGTGATCAGAGAGTTCTGGCTTCATCTGGT